AGCCTAATTTCTAATAAAAATTTGTGTTGTCAAAATTATCACGTTAACGGCGGTAATTAATTTTTTGAATTAATTGCGTTAAAATATTTCACGCATTTAACGCATGTGCAGAATGGCCCGCCCCATATGTGCCACCAGTGGCAGCGCCAGGGTATGGCTGGGGTAGGCTACACCCATACCAAGAAATGGCTTATAGGCCGCAAGGTGAACCTCGAAAAGTCCTTTAGAAAAGAAATCCCGCTCCACAGAAGTGAAACTACACAATCTTTAGTTCATAAAAAAGAACGATTCATGCTTATCCACCAAAAAAAATTTCGTCGCTAAAATTCCTGCCAATTCTTCTAGGCACGTAATTATTGGCTGAACTATTCCCTTCGAAGCGTAATAATATCTTGGTCCAAAGTCGTGCCACGGTTCATCACGTGATCGTGCTACACCAATTGGGTAGCTGCATATTGTCAACAGAAGTGAAAGATGGCGGCCGCCATGGTTTCATCGAGTAGCGGAGACGAGGAAAACGCACCAGAAAGTCTCAAAAAGTCAAAATTGTCAACACACAAACATTGTTACATGCATATTACGTCTGTGAAGCACGAAAAGGTTGATTGTTTTACCAATACAAGATGGAATACGTACAGGACAAGCTTACAACGGTCGCTCGGCTTGAAGGGAGACTCTCGGAACGTGGTGGCTGAAAACCACAAGCACTGTCTTGATTTCGAGTTCGAAGATATTCCTGAGGACGCTGGCTTCCACCACACATGCTACATAAGGTTTACCGACACAAAGGCCATGACGAAGGTGGAAAGACGGCTCGCACGTGAGGGAGATCAAGACGTTAGGGAGGACCTTGAGGTCGAGCCCATCCCATCGACGTCTCGCAGCACGTACCGAAGCCAAACAGAGAAGCTACGATCAAGGTCAGGCCTGCCAATCGCAGGCTCTGGCCCCGTCCTTCCTGCCCTGTGCATTATATGCAAGATGAAGGAGAAAATGATCATCAAAGCAGGCAAGCGACAAAGGGATCAACTGTGTAAGGCTGAAACATTAAAAGCAGGTAAGCAAACCCCCTCCCCCACCCACACACACACTACACACACACACACACATTCTCTGTGGTTGAATAACTGAAAGGTACAATTATGTGTGAGAGATACGTCAACAAACTCATTGAGTTGTCCTTTTTTTCCGTTTAGGCAAATTGCAGAAAGCTGCTGAGAAGAAAGATGACCAAAGTGTTGACCAGCAGGCAAGGAAGTGATTTTGCGTGCTGACAAGAAGTTATTTTCCAGGCTCCTCATCCTTGGCCAGAGCAGGAAAATTGAAATGAGGGAAATTCTGTCATATTCCTTGGGAACTGTGTCATATCCATTAGCAAGTGCTGATGGTTCACTTGCCAAAACAAACAAATCAGCTCTCATGGATCTATTGCAGAGCAAAGGTGGAGAGTGCTTGGTTGACAAAGTTCCAATAGGTGGTGCCATTCTTTTTGATGGCATGGCAGTCATGCAGGCCATGCCATCCAGACCAGCAACATTTGGAGAGCTTGCAGAGACCATACTGCAGAGCATACTCCAACTTGCTTTGCATCACAAGTGTACACGCATTGATTTTGTCACTGACCGGTATCCACCCATCAGCATCAAAAGCCTAGAACGGTCCCGTAGAGCTGATGCAGGGTCACAACTAATAACAATCTTCAGCCCAGATCAGAGAACTCCAACCCAGTGGAAGAAGTTTCTCTCTGACGGAAAAAATAAGGAAGCACTGGCCGAATTCCTTTATGTGGCATGGACACATGCAGACCTCACAACAGTGGGTAACAACCTCAGCTTGTACATTGCCCATCAAAATCAATGCCACTGTGTAACTGTCATGGAGGGTGTACAGTCTGTTGATGTTGTTGAAGACCTGCAGTGTGATCATGAGGAATGTGACACACGGGTGTTTTTACATGCCCAACATGCTGCACAGGAGCACAAAGCTGTCATCATCAAGAGCTCGGACACTGATGTGGCAGTCATTGCTGTAAGTCTGCAGGCAGATTTGCCATGCAGCTTATATGTGTTCACAGGGACTGGCAACAGGACACGGATCATTGACATTGCCATGGTGTCATCAGCTCTCGGAACCAGTGTGTGTTCAGCCTTGATTGGAATTCACACGTTCTCTGGGTGTGACTCCACAAGCGCTTTCTATGGCAAAGGCAAAAGAAAGTCATTTGCTGTTGCATGTGAGAAAGATGACTACCTTAAGGCTTTCAGAAGTTTAGGTACTAACTTTGACTTGGAGCAATCAACATTTGCACTTCTTTGCCGGTATGTATGTCACCTGTATGATCAGCCAGCAGCCGAACATGTAAATGATGCTAGGTACAAGGCTTTCTGTATGGCATCATCGGCCTTGCCAGAATTAAGCATTCCCCCTACTCATGATGCCCTCCATCAGCACTGCAAAAGGGCAAATTACCAGGCAGCAATAATGAGGTCCTGTCTCAAAAGAGAAATGAATGCTCCATCACCTGCTGGATATGGTTGGGAAATAGAGGATGGGAACTTACACGTCACCTGGATGACAAGAAATCCTGCCCCTGACAGTGTGTTGCATGTGATACACTGCAGCTGCAAAGAGTCTGCCTGTGAGAAAGGCAGATGTTCATGCTTCTCTGCAGGACTCTGTTGCACAGACTTATGTCGTTGCTCAAATTGTGCAAATAAAAAAGAAACAGAGGAAGAGAACGATGACTGCCCTGACACTGACAGTGAGGAATAGGAATAAAAGAGCCTTCTTTCCATCTTTCTTAAGCTCTTTTCTGTTCTTTTGGTTTTAGTGCCTGGCCGACGCGCTCACACATCACTCATAGATACGTTTGTTTTTGGTACTAGAACAGAGTATAATCAGCAGGACTCTTTTAACCAGCTGAGGCAATCACAGCACCAATCAGCCGCTCCGCCCAGCCTGACACCAATCAATTATACTACATTACATGTCCTTCTACTGTTTTCTATGTCATACCTTTTATATTTGTAATAAATCTCGTTTTTATGGTTCATCAGTGTTGTTTTCATTTGTGGAGGGATGAATGAGTAAATAAATGAATCAATGGACATTGGTATAAGTAAGGCAAGGCAAGTTTATTTATATAGCACTTTTCAACACAAGGCAATTCAAAGTGTTTTACAAAAAATTAAAGACATTAAGAAAATGGCATTTAAAATCAGTCATTCAAAAGAAAAGCTAATAAAAGAAACATTAAAAGAAAAAATACATGGATAAAAGTTACAGTGCAGTCTAAGATATGAATAGTTCAATTAAAAGCAGCAACAAAAAGAAAAGTCTTCAGCCTGGAAGTACTGCATTTTATTGATCTAAATTACTTAACGTAACAAGTTAACCTTCTTCTTGGACGCAGAAATCAAGTCATGTTTATTTTAAGAGTGCATTTAACGTGTACAGGGTAACAACAGACAGACAAAAAGTCCTCAGTCTAATGGAATAATCCCAATGAACCTAGCGATGTGAACATGGCAGTCCAGGAATGATAGTTTGATAAATATGAGTTTGATATACTTTATTAATCCCCGTGGGGAAATTGTTTGTAGCTGGAGTTGGCTGATAAACGCTGCTAGTCAATGTTGATTCGATGGTCAACTCTGTTCCCAGATAGTAAAACCTCTCACAAATACCGCGTATATAACGCAAATACCTCGGACTTAGTGATGTATTAAGACATATGACAAAACATGACATAAAACAAGCATACAGCACTGTTTAGAATCCATTTGGTCTGGTTTAGCGTAACCATGGCGGCCGCCATCTTTCACTTCTGTTGACAATATGCAGCTACCCAATTGGTGTAGCACGATCACGTGACGAACCGTGGCACGACTTTGGACCAAGATATTATTACGCTTCGAAGGGTCTAGTTCAGCCAATAATTACGTGCCTAGAAGAATTGGCAGGAATTTTAGCGACGATATTTTTTTTGGTGGATAAGCATGACTCGTTCTTTTTTATGAACTAAAGATTGTGTAGTTTCACTTCTGTGGAGCGGGTTGAAACGATAACAGGGTTCACCTTATGGCCTATTAGCCCCACCATGAAAAATGATGTTAAAGTAAGCGAAATAAAGTCTGCCAACTCGCGCGGAGTAAATTGCACAGACAGCTGTTAGTAAGATTGATTTCAGCAGCCACGGTTTTGAAAACTTTTGTCACGTAGTGATCGTCTTCTCAATAGAACATCTTTGATAACGGGTGGTGTTGTTGCAGGAAGTCCCGACGGAGAATACTTTTGCTGTAGTACGGGGTGCACATAACTGGTACGCAGGTTATGTGCGTAATCTGAAATGCGTACGGTCACTTGTGTCACAAAGCGCATTTGCGTACCGACGTACTTGTGAAGCTTTTCCAGAAGGCGGTTAGATCACCGGACGACAGAGTCGGTCTCCGTGTGCACAGACAGGGCTGCTGTTAACGTCGGTCTGTACAACGGAATTGTGCCAAAACTACGCCAACCGGCTGCGGAGGGAGACTCTCTCTCTCTCCCACCCCCCTCCTTCACAGGAGAACTGCGCTAAAACAGCTGATCACAACGTTCACACTCTGTGGTCACGAAGTACTCCACTAGCCGCCGCCCCCCCCCCCCCCCCCCCCCCCCCCCCCCTCTGTCGACTTTCCTGAAGTACTCCCCCGTTGATAGAAATCAACACGTAATGAATTAAGACCCCACGGTTTGATGATTGATAGGTGTGTGGGTTGTCTTTCATTTTGACACGCAGAAAAATGTTTTAATAAACATAGATACTGTATGTTAAATGGATATATCCGCCTTCTTTCATTTATCTTTCCATTCCCACAAAAATATACATAAATAAATGGCATATTTTGGACATAGTTTGAATGGTGATTAATCATGATTAATTCATTTTAAAGCTGTGATTAATCTGATTAAAAATTGTAATCGTTTGACAGCCCTAATAAAAATACATTTAAAATCACTTGACATTTTTTTCAGAATATTTATTAAGCAAATTGCTAACTTCATTGTAAAGACAAATACAAAGTCATTAAAATCATCAGTATGGATCAGCAATTTCATTACATCAACATGTTTTTCATCAAACTAAAGTGTATATTTCAAAATCAGTAAAGTGAGTGATAGATTTAAACCCATTAACCATTGATTGAAAGAAAGGCTGAGCTATCTAGATTGATAGACCTCAGCAGAAAGATAGCCACTGTTAAACAGCAGATCTGTTGAATCATAAGAAGCCGGGGGGTTGAAGTATCTCGAGGCCGACCTTTTCCTTCCGTTGCTGGTGAGTAAAAAAAACAATGAGATTCAGATAAATAATATTTCAACCACTTTTTTCTTGTTCTGCTGTAACAGCTGTATTAGTAGTTTAATGTATCCTCTGTGTTAAAGTTTCCCGCAGTTTTGGAGAGTATAGCATTATTTCCCACTTACATTAACATTGGTAAAGCTTGTTGACACGGGCAATGTCATTCTTGCTCATCGTACGAGCAGTCCCAAAGTTAAGACTCGGATTGCTCTTAGCGAGGATGGTTGGTTCCCTGTTTTTGCTGAAGGCGTATCTTGAGGATCAAAAGAAGACAACATGTTTGGCAAACAGAGCTGCACACACACATCACAAGCACACAGACACTTGTTTCTGACTCACAAATGATGTTGTAATGTGGAGTCGTTTGTGAGCTGTTTTAGGCAACCTAATACAGGGTTCTACAGCACTAGGCAAGTTAGATTTAAGACTTAAAACTGATTTAATTAAATATTGGATGCAATTTAACTTCACAATACCCTAACTTGAAATAAAAATGTATCAATGATCATTAAATGTTTGATTTTGAATGCAGGACTTTTACATGTAAAATGATATTTTTACAACTACGAACATTTGAGTACTTGTTCCTTGACTGACATCACATTTGAACATACATACATACACGCACTCACACAAACACTCACTTTCCGTAGTGCATGACAGAGTCGAAGTCGTAGGGAGTACCCAAGTTGTTAGTTTGCCGCTTCATAAAGTTACGTGTTTTTCCTGCAGAGAGAGAACAAGAGAGCATTTATATTTGAGAACAGCGGTAACATTTTTGCATTTTCATAAACAATGGATTGAAAATGTGCAAACAAAACTTGCTTAACCTGTTAAAAGCATGCTGGTAGACTTAAAAGCCAACCCCTTTATGGTATTAATAACCCTTTTATTGTATTAGTAACTATTGGATGGATTTAATACAGACATTCTATTCATGATGCCCACAGGAGGTTGCCCAATATGTTTGGTGTTTCCTAACATCTAAAAGATGGATTGGCACAACATTCCCAGATAATATATTGTAATTATTTCAATGTAGTGCCATCATCAGATAACAACTCAAATGTGTCCAATACTTATCTCTGCAGAGCTAACACCTTCCCCAGTCTCAGATTTCCTTTGTGTCGACTTGTAATTATCAGATGTTAGCATGCTAAAACACTAAACACAAGAAAGGGCCTTTTTCAAGTGGGATGGAGGATGTTCAAACTGGGAAATGGGAAAGACCCTCCAGAGCTGCTCTCATGGCAATGACTTTGATGTTGGTGGATTTTCAGTCAAGACGCATACACTTTATACTCACCTCTCTGTAGATCTCATCTTTTTTATACAACACACACATACAGGACTGTAAATAAGAGCGTTTGTGTGTGAGCTGACCTGGCTCAATGTTCTGGTAGAGGATGGAGATGTAGCTGTCTCTGTCGGAGCGGACATGCTCGTGGTGGAAGCCCAGAGCGTGGAGAACCTCGTGCTGCACTGTGTCTGTGTACAAACAACCATTTTTCTTCAGGGAGACAAGCTGTCCTCTACTCTGTCGGCCCAGGTAGGACCAACACCTGTCACACACACAGACACACACACACACACAGAGAAAATACGAAAATAAGAATAGGTATTGTTGATACATTCCTGACCTCTTGTGTTGTTTGGGAAATTTCAACTTTAACTAGCAAAGGGGATCAGTTGTGTTTTTACATTCCGAATTGATAGAAAGTAACTAATTTATTCAAGTACTGTACCCAAACAAAAGGTACTCATAATTGTCTTACTACTGTATGTGTGTTCTTACCCAGATCCAGAGTAGAAGTAGAGGTAATTTCGATGGCTGGTCCTCCAGACAAAGCGAATGCAGGTGGATGCGTGGAAGGTCAGCAGGGCTCGGATGATGATGTTGCGCTCTCTTGAGGCTGCAGAGACAAAGAACAGGGTGCTGAGCAGTGTTCTCGCCAAACCTGGTCTGCCTTCCAGCATAAAATCTCACATTTAGATTACATTTTAGGGCTCAAAAGTGAATTTACTGTAGCTGGTGGAGATGTAGATGGGTACGTAGACGTATCTTCTATATTTGGGCCATTTGCAGCCTCTAGCCGTGCAGGGATCTGCATTCCTTCTTACATTTTGCACAATGTCGCCGTCGACCATGCGCGTTGCTGCAGAACAATAAGTCAAACAGACATGTTCATGAATATCCGTACCAGGAGTATGGAGTGGTACAAGTTTGATTGACATTGACCAATGGGTTAAGGCTATGGGTTTCTTTCCATTGTTGATACATATTTAAGAAAACACTGGAAAAATAGATTTTTAGAAGTTAGAAAACGTACAAGCACGTCTGACCAACTATGAAAAAAAAAAATTCTCACATTTAAGAAGCTGGAACCATCAGATGTCAGGGAAAATTTGTAATAAATGTCTGACATTTTGTTTAGAAAATATGAAACTTGTGTCTTACTTATGTTAGCATTAGCTCTCTCGATGATATCAGAGGCGTCCTGAAACTCTTCTGAAAGAACAAACAGAGAAAACCAATGATACAACAAACTATTACCAGCAGTTCAGCCTGTTAATCATTCACATGTCAGATGTGAATCAAGAGAAACTAAGAAGGAACAAAAATGCCACTGTTAAATGAATTCTTCATTTTCAACTCACGTCTTTCTCCGTTATCAGTAGCACCCTGCAACACAAATGCACACCATTGCAAAATATAAAATATATTATTTTTTATTCCATTTCAATTCATACCAATAAAAGTAATCATGGCATTTTTTCTTTTTTAAATTATTACAAAAAAGTTTATGTTTGTCAATCCCACAGCAATTGTTTGTGTTAACATGAAAGAGTCAGACTTACCGGAGGAATGGCCGACAAAGAGAGGAAGAGGACGAAAAGCAAAACTGGAGTCATGACGGTGGTCCTCTGCAGATAAACCTCAAATCTGAAAGTCAAAATCTGAAAAGTGTTTGGTGGTTAAGGAAAAGGTTTGGTATACATACGTTCTTAATTATTTACAAGAACAAAAATACTGAGAAGAGGATCAGTGGAGCTTACCTGCTGTAGCTGAATGTGATGCTCGATGCAGCAGGTTCTCAGATCCTCACGCTTTATAGAAAGCTGTGAGGGTGTGTCAGAGGATGGACACACATTACTGTAAACCTCAGCTGTCAGTCAAAAATGTTGTTGTGAAGCTACTCAAGAAGAAGAATTAAACTGACATGTTTTCCCCAGTTAGGAAATCACGCACACATATTCAGACCCTTAACTAACGTTAGAAAAACATGTGAATGCATAAGGCAAGGCAAGGCAAGGCAAGTTTATTTATATAGCACTTTTCAACACAAGGCAATTCAAAGTGCTTTACAAAAAATGAAAGAGATTAAGAAAATGGCATTTAAAATCAGTCATTAAAAAGAAAAGCTAATAAAATAAACATTAAAAGAAAAAATACATGGATAAAAGTTACAGTGCTGTCAATTAAACATTAAAAGAAAAAAGTACATGGATAAAAGTTACAGTGCAGTCTAAGATATGAATAGTTCAATTAAAAGCAGCGACAAAAAGAAAAGTCTTCAGCCTGGATTTAAAAGTAGTCAGAGTTGCATAAGTCAACTTTCAAGTAACAAATGACCAAGTGTAAGCACTTTATTTTACACTATATATTTTTTAAATGTATGGGCATAACATGAATAATGATAAATATGTAGAGATACCCTTCAGCAGCACATAACAGAAAAGTAAAGATTAATACGGAAAGTGAAAAGTAAATAAAAGGTATGGATTCAATTGTATTTATTTATCATAGCATCCATGGTAAACATACAGATTTGCCTACCATGCACTTTTTGGCAAACAAAAGGAACGTACAATATGAATTTCTTAGTGCATGGTTCCTATACGGGACCCCCTTGAAAACGAGGTGGTGCATCTCAAGGGGTTTATCCCAATGAATAAAATGTCTATATATATATATATATACTGTAACATAATTACAATAGTAATGAAATGCTTTGTATGTGATGATGTCATTGTTATCATCACTGTTCAAGCAGAGTTATTGACAATGGAAAAAATGCAATACTTTTCTACATTTCTCTCAGAAGGAAATTAATTCATTTGTGTTTTGAGCTTTTTGCAGCCTTTTGTACTCACAGCGTTTTGTTTATGCAGTGCTTTTAGTAAACGCTGAGCATGTTTCCTCAAGTTGGTGAATGTTTTCTAAATGCTGCGCATGTGTTGTTAAATTGGTGAAGATGTTTCTTCATTTGCATGTGTTTTGGCACATTTGTTTTTTTTTATATCTACATCGTTTTATTTCGACCTAATGGAACTATTTGGGCCGTTGTAGCGTGTTTGCACCTGTCGGCCACCGTACTCAACTCCGTAAAACAACATAAACTTCAAACTTGTTCACCAGGAAACACACTGTGTTATGACAATGGCATGACAGTACATCAACAGGAAAGCTCTTCTTTCATGATGGGAATTAAATGTTCAAACCTTTCTCAGAAACACTGGAGAATATTGCGTGGTCATACTTCCTCCGTTTTCTGCCAGACGCTGTCTCCTCTCTCACTTTAGGTAACTTCACAAAAAACCGATCCATGTTGCCGCTCGCATAAAGTTAGCTTAAGTTAACTAGATTTCACTGTTTCTCGTTTTTTTTTTTTCTCACGCTGCGCCTCCCCTGAAGCTCTACAAGCTTCTACATTTCTGTCAGAAGGAAATTAAATATTTAATAGAAAAAATAATACATTGTAAAGATATTATCATTTTTACGCATAGGGCAGTTGGAGGTACTCTTAACGTTGTAGAAGTAAAGCAAATCGCAAGTAAACATGTGGGTTTAAAGTAACAGCACTCAACGGTGGCCAGCAGGTGCAAACGTGCTGCAACGGCCCAAAACACTTCCATTCGTAGAAACCGGCTGCAACTGTCACTATTGGCAGAGTTAGTATTTTTCATAATTGTAAGTGTTTTTTGTTAGTATATTTGAGATGGCTACGTTAGCTACGTTTGCTAGCTAGCTAACAGTAGGTCTGCAATAACAACAGAAGGAATCACGTAATCACAATTGCCATTGTTAAAATAAGCCAATACAATTTATATTTTAGGTAAGCTTCCACTGACTATTTATAATCCCTGAATGTCAACAAGCATTCTGGTCCTACTGTAGCTGTGCGCATCACTTTTTAGTATCCCAATTTCCGTTGTGTTTTGAGCTATTTTGCAGCCTTTTGTACTCGCAGCGTTTCGTTTATGCAGTGCTTTTAGTAAACGCTGAACATGTTTCCTCAAGTTGGTGAATGTTTTCTAAATGCTGCGCATGTGTTGTTAAATTGGTGAAAATGTTTCTTCATTTGCATGTGTTTTGGCACATTTGTTTTTTTTATATCTACATCGTTTTATTTCGACCTAATGGAACTATTTGGGGCGTCGGCCACCGTACTCAACTCCGTAAAACAACATCAACTTCAAACTTGTTCACCAGGAAACACACTGTGTTATGACAATGGCATGACAGTACATCAACAGGAAAGCTCTTCTTTCATGATGGGAATTAAATGTTCAAACCTTTCTCAGAAACACTGGAGAATATTGCGCCGCCGCATGTCTCATTAACATTTGTTATAATTAGTTTTTTTTAAGTCACAAAAACATGAAACATACTGTATATAGATAGAATAATGCTTTCTTAAAAAGTTAACAGGATTTCTAATGCAAAATACACTGCTCAATATTCACCCAAATCACTTGTTTTCTAAAAACGTCCTTGAGTTATCTAGTATTTTTGTGGTCATTTGCAAGGTTATCAGTTGTTTAACAACTGTTATTGTTAAGCATTGAATATAATATCACAAATCCATAAAATATATCACGTAGCATCAGTTTAGAAAAAAGGAGTCCATGATGAAAAAGGTTGCGAACCAATGGATTAGAGGATCAGGTCATTTTTAGGAGTTCTTTAGTCTATTTCAATGTATTTCTTAGGGATGTTCTCGTGAAGACATGAAGACATAAAGACTTGTGAAAATGAAATAATGATCCTATATTTAGAAAGAGAGTTCTTTTGTATTCCCTATCATTCCATCATCATTTTCCTTTTTCTGTATAACAGAAAGGACTTGATATTTAAAAAGGACTAAAAATGTACTTTGGATTTTGATGCTAGAATTTCGGTTTTCCAGATGTTGTTCCGGATGTTTAATGTTGTCCTTTGCTATTCTGGATTTGACATCTTCTTTTGCATATTAGTTATGTTCCCAAGGTATTTTTTGCAGTTTCTTAGGCAAAATCCCAATATGGGCGGGTATTGAGAAAATCAGGTGTGTATAGCTGGTCAAAGGCCAAATGAATACATTATGAAATGCACGTGTAAGCCAATAAAGGCCATATTACACACAAGCACACACACAAAGATGGCAAACACAGCAACATTAGCATCAAATCAAATTTTACGCACAAAAAACCTATACCCTATAAACCAGCGGTTTTCAAAGTGTGAGGCGCGCCTCCCCGGGGGGGCGTCAGAGAGCTTCAGGGGAGGCGCAGCGTGAGAAAAAAAAAACGAGAAACAGTGAAATCTAGTTAACTTCAGCTAACTTTATGCGAGCGGCAACATGGATCGGTTTTTTGTGAAGTTACCTAAAGTGAGAGAGGAGACAGCGTCTGGCAGAAAACGGAGGAAGTATGACCACGCAATATTCTCCAGTGTTTCTGAGAAAGGTTTGAACATTTAATTCCCATCATGAAAGAAGAGCTTTCCTGTTGATGTACTGTCATGCCATTGTCATAACACAGTGTGTTTCCTGGTGAACAAGTTTGAAGTTTATGTTGTTTTACGGAGTTGAGTACGGTGGCCGACAGGTGCAAACACGCTACAACGGCCCAAATAGTTCCATTAGGTCGAAATAAAACGATGTAGATATAAAAAAAAACAAATGTGCCAAAACACATGCAAATGAGAAAACATCTTCACCAATTTAACAACACATGCGCAGCATTTAGAAAACATTCACCAACTTGAGGAAACATGCTCAGCGTTTACTAAAAGCACTGCATAAACAAAACGCTGCGAGTACAAAAGGCTGCAAAAAGCTCAAAACACAAATGAATTAATTTCCTTCTGAGAGAAATGTAGAAAAGTATTGCATTTTTTCCATTGTCAATAACTCTGCTTGAACAGTGATGATAACAATGACATCATCACATACAGTACAAAGCATTTCATTACTATTGTAATTATGTTACAGTATATATATATATATAGACATTTTATTCATTGGGATAAACCCCTTGAGATGCACCACCTCGTTTTCAAGGGGGTCCCGTATAGGAACCATGCACTAAGAAATTCATATTGTACGTTCCTTTTGTTTGCCAAAAAGTGCATGGTAGGCAAATCTGTATGTTTACCATGGATGCTATGATAAATAAATACAATTGAATCCATACCTTTTATTTACTTTTCACTTTCCGTATTAATCTTTACTTTTCTGTTATGTGCTGCTGAAGGGTATCTCTACATATTTATCATTATTCATGTTATGCCCATACATTTAAAAAAATAGTGTAAAATAAAGTGCTTACACTTGGTCATTTGTTACTTGAAAGTTGACTTATGCATTGACATGTTTTTCTAACGTTAGTTAAGTTAGACTGTCTGTCTGGTTGGCTTACATAACAGTTAAAGTTTACAGCCTAAAAAACATGGAGCATTTTTTCTCCTTTTATTCGTTTTTATGTCAATTTGCACATTTAATGGTGATGCTCAGCTTCTCCCCTTAACTCCTAACAGTCATCATCATGTCAACCACCACACAGAGAAATACTGATAGAAATGTGTGTGTCGTTGTTGATACATTGCTGACAGAGGGAACTACATTTGAATACAGATTTAAGAAGTATCAGTTTTTGAGCATGTCATAAGCATGTTTTGTCTTGACTATATTACAACTATATTATAATAAAATGATATAGTATTTATATTATTGAATTGATTATTAGTAGAAGTAGTTTATTTGCATTAATTCTATTTTAATCTTTTTGAGGCTAGTATTTGGCAGGAAATGCAGACGTATTCACCTGTAAACGCATACTGAACGACATACATGCACATTTACCATTTACCTCACTGTATAAAAAAGTAACTGTGTTGATAATAATAATAAACAGGAATTATATTT